ATATAAATATTCTTCATAAGATTTTGACAATCTAGTCAGTGATTTTTTTTTATTAATCAAGTTCAGATACAGTTAAAGGAATGTAATATGAAGTTATGATTTTTTTTTATTAATTTTCCATTTTTTTAAAATTTAGAATAGATCCATAATCTGTTGTCATTTTGAAGATTAATTTTCATTAGAAATGAATATTCTTAGTAATTTTCACATTTATTTTGATAAATGTCATTCAGTGGCGGATCCAGAACTTTTCATAAGGGGGGGGGGGGGGCACTGACTGACCTAAGGGGGGCCCACTCCAGTCATGCTTCAGTGATTCCCTATATAATCAACCAAATCCCCCCCCCCCCCCCCCCCCTGGATCCGCCTATGTCATTTAATGATAAAAGGAAATTTCCTAAATATTTAAAAAAAATTCTTAATAGAATATTCATTAGGCAAAGACAATTTGGAAAAAGAACCCTCCTTTTTATACGCCTGTTTATGAGAGGTATTATGGTATACCGTTGTCTATCCGTCCGTCTGTCTGTCCGTCATAGAAAACCACAGACCTTTGGTTACAGCAATCCTAATCAATTTTGATTGTAGTTAAGATAACCTGCACAAGGAGAGTTTGAACTCACAACCTGAATGCAGACTTACTTGTGCATTTACTTTATATTTTTGCTCTCATACTGTTATTTTGTTTGTAATTATGATGTTTACTTACATTTAATATCATTTATGAGGAATTAAAGATATGAATGATTGAATGAAAAGTTACCTTTGAAATAACAGATATGATAATTTAATGTTGCATATGAAGTTAAACTTTATTTAAATATATATTAATATCTATTAAAAAGATTGATATGTTATTATAGTGATGAATTTAACTTTAACATGTTAAGATACTGAAGTAAATGAATAAATAAATAGAAAAATTTCTTTGAACATATGTTGCTGTATATGATTATGACCTTTTCTTATCAGACATATTATATAAAGTCATTAAAATAAATTATTTATTTACACCAAAAGTCTAAATTTTTTTGTTTATTTTTATTGAAGCTTATTGATTTTGATTATTTAAGATTAAAATAAGAATAATTTCAATTTCAAAAAAATAATAACAAATATCTAATAACAAAATTAAGTATATACATTATGGGATTTTCTCATGTTTGAAGGCTTTAGTGTAGCATAAAATTGCTTATATTCACTCCATTTGAGTTTTTGGGGATAGTTGTCTCATTGGCAGTTATTTCACATCTGATTAGTTTTACATTAGTGAAATTAGAAACTTGGACCACATAAGAATCAGTAGACAATTAAAATATAAATTATAATTTCATATGACAACTCTAGAGAAGTTGGAAATTATTTTCATTTAATATCATATGCATAAATTTATATATTTACAGATATCAATAGAAATAAGGAATAAAGAAGAGCAGGAAACATTTTTCCATTTTGAGGATTTATGGAACGGAGAACTATTTGACTTGTTTTTACTTTAACTTGGACTTTTTAACAATAATGCTTCTTAAATTTTAAACTTTATTGTTATGCGTTTGTTTTTTTTTTTACTTTCAAAGTATTAAGTTGTATTAAATTTTGTTTATTTGATTGAAGTTTATTTTTCTTATAATAATTTAAGATATTATTTACATATGTTTCATTTTAACATTATTTTTATGCATTTGTATTTATTTATCTTTTAATAAACTTTTTTTTTCTTAACATTTTTATATTTTTAAATATACAAAGTGAAACACCATAATCATTTTATATTGATAACATGGGGTAGATGTGCATGAGAAAATGCTGCTGCTGCAATACAATAAAACATTCATAGATGCAAAGCAAGCATATTAGCCATATATATGTATGTACTGTAGTATTTGAGACATAAAAAAATATCAAAGATGTAAGTAAAAGGTCTAATTTAATGAATTATTAGGTGTGAAGGACTTAAACAGAGTGGTTTTAGAATCGTTCACTTCTCCCAGAGGTATCCTTGATGTCTCTCTAATGGCCTCTCATGACATGACTTTTCACTGTTATATGCTTCCAGGGAGATTTTGAAGTGTGGTGACCCCTGCACCTAAATAAATCATTTTCAGCAGATACATATCTCTGTTTTCAGACTATTTGATGAAAAGTTTAAACTAATTTACAAATTAGAAAAATGAAAACTGAGCAACTTGAACCCACAAAAAACAGATGATCTCAGGTGCACTGGAAGAGTAAGCAGATCCTGCTCCATGTGTAGTATTTAGAATGAGATGCCTAGGTGCCCTTTTCCTATATGTAATCACATGATTTTGCAAATTATTGTGTGCTTTTATTATAATATTGCAAATATGTAGAATGGAATAAAATGTGTGAAAAAGTATTGCTTTTGCAGAAAAATCAGCACACAGATATAGGAATGGTATGAATCTGATTTAAGTATAGATCCTGTGTCCAAGCTTTGTTTTTCTTGTAATAAGCTTGGACACAGGATTTGCATTTTAATCAGATTAAAAGGTATCAGAATGCAATTTATTATTTAGATACTCACCCACTCACATTATTGCAGTAATGAAAACTTTGCTATCCTTTCTGAATTTACAGTACCTAAAATATCCATCATGATAGACCTCGAAAATGATTAGTGTGAAAATAAAAGTTGTTGGTCGAACATTAATATCAACGCAACAAAACAGGATCACCAAAATCAGAGTGAGACATTCATATGCCATCTTCAAAGTAGACCTCAGAAGCAATATAGCTTTTTTTAATGCTCTTAATGGTCATATAGCTCTCACTTGTATTAAGACTTGTATATGTACTATGGCATTGAGCATACCTGTTGAAGGTTAATCCAGGAAAGCCCTTGGATGCATTCAATTTAAAATATTTTTTTTTTCATTTTCGCTGTGAAGGAATTGTGTAATTAATGAATGCTATATTTGAAAAATACCATTGTTAATGTTAATTTCTTCAGCAGCAGCATATCTGGGTTGAACTATTTTTTTCAACTTTAGTTTTTCCTTGGGAACAGTTGTTTTTAAAAGAAACCCATATTGACATGATTGACAATTGACATTTATGAATTACAATTAATATATATCTTTATTTTTATTCCTTATAAATATATTTTTTTATTGGGGCCGGATCGACTTTAAATATGGGCCGGATCGACGTTGGGCCGGATCGACGTGGGACGGATCGACTTGGGCCGGATCGACGTGGGGCCGGATCGACATGAAAGCATAGGTTTATCGGGTTGGGCTCAAGTCAGGAAAAGTGGGGTATTCCCAGTTTTCAGGATACACCCCAGTTTTCTGGTGTTAAAAAAACCCAGTTTACAGGGACTTCCTTTTTCTATTTCAATTTAATGACATGAAATTTACAAAAGCGCACGTTTTAACTGCATTAGAAGTATTTGTAAATACTTAAAGTATTTTAGGAACAACCACACATGAATAAGTGAAGCCTTGTTTAATCTAGAACTGAAAAACATACAAATCTTTTGTTTAGGGATTAATTGACCAAGCTGCATGCTCCAGCTGTAACTGACTATAACTGAATTATCTTCACTTCTATTGAAAATTTCTATTCATTGAATTTAAATGCCCAAGGGATTAACTTATCTTTTTGTCATCTCATAATTGATGATCAAGGTATGAATTGGTGAACAAAGGAATTGTTTTGTTGTGAGTTGGGCATCAAATTAGACTTGATATTAGCTTGATTTTTGAACTTATAAAAACACTTGCTTTCATAAAACATTGTTATCACATGTAGAAGGTGCACTTTTGTAGATTTAAATTGGATAGGAAAAAAGATGTCCCTGTATACTGGGGTTTTAATTAACACCAGAAAACTGGGGTGTATCCTGAAAACTGGGAATAGCCCACTTTTCCTGACTTGAGCCCAACCTGTTTATAACAGCAAATTTTATGTCTTGGACAAGTTTGAAAATCAGTGCCGATCAATTATTTTTAAAAGAGTTGTGCCCCTTGGAAATAATGGTTATATTCAAAATTGCAACATTAACACTATCATGTGTTACAGTACAATTCTTGCCAGAATTTTATGAAATTTATATCGTAGGTTTATATCAGCCATGTCTTTGAAGAGCTCGACAATCAGTGACGATCAATTATTTTTAAAAGAGTTATGCCCCTTGGAAACATTAATTATATGGAAAATTGCCTTATGAGTGCTATAATGTGTACAATTCTTGCCAGATTTTTATGAAATTTATATTAAAGGTTTATAAATTATATCATCAATATCTCAGACAAATTTGAAAATTAGTGCCAATCAATTATTTTTAAAAGAGTTATGTCTCTTGGAAATATTGATTAAATGGAAAATTGCATTGTTAGCGTTCCCATGTGTACAATTCTTGCCAGAATTTTATGAAACTTATATCATAGGTTTATATCAGTAATGTCTTAATTTGACACTTTGAAAATAAGTGCTGATCTAATATTTTTAACGAGTTATGCCCCTCGGAAAAAATTATAACTGAGATCGCATTGCATTTGCTGAAGCCTTCATTTCTCTAAGATATTTATAAATTGTTTTATAGAACAAAAAAAAAAGTTTGTTTTTTAGTTATTACCCTTGTACTTTGGATAGATAAAATATGTGCAACACGGGGGACATTGGAAAACTGTTCTTTTATTTTAAAACAAAATACGACTTTACCAAGTCAATTATTGATAAGCTTAAAAATTGACCCAATATCAAAAAGTTGCAAATATTGTCTTGATATTTCTTTTTGATTTCTATTTTGTACTTTATTTGATAAAATTTAGAATTATCATCAATTGAGATTTTCTATATATACAATAAACATGATAAACATGATAAGTGCATGATTTAGTTTTTGATATCATGGATATACTGTAGGTATTTCTGGCTTGGTAATTCAAGTAGACTACACATTGAATTAAGACCTTCATTTGAAAGACAATATTGTGAAAACACTAAAGCAATGCAGTTTCCTTTTGTTTACAGTTAAGTTTTAAATCATGAAGATAAAATCCATGCAGGTAGAGTTTGATCATCAAGATCGAGTTTACTTGGTAGGAAGTACACTACAAGGTGTTGTTAAAGTAAGCTTTGAGAAACCAACGAAACTGCAAAGTAAGTTAAATATTATAGATAAATTGTTTACTTGTACCGTATATTACATGTACATAAAGAACATTATAAAAATAAGGAGATGAGGTATGATTGCCAATGAAACAACTATCCACCAAAGTTCAAATAAAGTGGATGTAAGCAATTATAGGCAACCATATGAACAATTAGAAAAACCCATACCATATAGTGGGCTATTGTATATTAGAATCTGTGTTCAAAATTCACTTCTAACTATAATTGCCACATGGAGGAATACTTAGTGAGATTGGTTGGGCAAATAACAGCCTTCCAAAAGGTCATTACTATTTTGACTACATGAATGTGTGTCTTCAAAGTCATCTCAATCTTTTTGTCATTTTACCAAATAAACTGTCATTTCATTGCTTTATTGACCCATTTATAGGACATATACTATTTATGAAAATGTCTATATTTCATTGGTATACATATATTCAACTATAAATTGTGCACTTTGAATTTAAAAAAAACAAAATATCCAATCTGACCTTTACTGTTATGTCTCAATTATGAACTGTATTTTTCTATACTTTACAAATTATATATTTTGAACAGCTATTGTGGTGCACATCAAAGGTAAAGGTAAGACAAACTGGGACAAGGATGACTTAAGTCATGATGACATAAATTATAGTGCAAAAGAATACTACATTGATGAAACAATCAAATTATTTGGAGGTTAGTACTGTTTTTTACTGAACAAAAATTAGAAACAGGAATAATTTTTTATTATAAGACCCAATAACAAAATGGCATTCTGGACTTTTTATACCATATTTATTTTTTAGATATTTGTATTTATACAGCTACATGTATCAACAACTGATCTTGTTTTCGTCTTACAAGTAAAAAACTGAAAATGTCTTTAACATTTTTTATAGAGTATTTGTTATTAGAGTTATCTCCCCTTAAATGGCTAAGTTGAAAAATTGATTCGAACAAAAACAAATATTTGGTATCTGTTAAAACATTGTAAATGATGCAATAAATCACTTATTTTTTTTTATTGGTATAAACAGTTTACACATGTACATTAATTGCTAATCTGTCTCAAAATTTAAGCAAAGTACTAGACCGATTGTGTGCTGCTATTTTACAATCCAAGATGGCAGTATACAGTTAATCTACTCTAATGGCCAAGATGAAGATTTTTTTTTATGTACTATAAGCATGATAAGAAGTTAAATCTAGCAGACAATATAAAAGAACTATTATTGTATGCATGTGTATGGAGTAACCTAAATTGCATGAATTTCTGCTTTCCTCCTTTTAAGGGCATACGATACAGTTACAGGGGAGGTAATGACGTTGCTAATGTAAATTGTTATTTTCGCGACGTCAAACTGTGACATATCGGGAAAAGATGCAGTTTTCGACTGTTTGTTATCATTCAAACTGATTTATATTGAAAACCAGTTCATGGACCCCTTTTTTATACGACCGCAAAAATTAAAAAATTTTTGGTCGTATATTGGTATGACGTTGGCGTCGTCGTCCGGCGTCGTCGTCGTCTGGCGTCGTCCGAAGACACATTGGTTTTCGCACTCTAACTTTAGTTTAAGTGAATGGATCTCCATGAAATTTTACCATAAGGTTCAATACCACGAAAGGAAGGTTGGGATTGATTTTGGGGGTTATGGTACCAACAGTTAAGGAATTAGGGGCCAAAAAGGGGCCAAAAATAAGCATTTTTGTAACTTCCAGACAATAACTTGTGTGTAAGTGTATGGATCTCTCTGACATTGTACCACAAGGTTCCATATCACAAAGGAAAGGCTGTAATTGATTTTGGGGGTAATTGCCTCAAAATTTTAGGAATTAGGGGCCAAAAAAGGGGCCAAAAACAAGCATTTTTCTAGTTTCATGACAATAACTTGTGTGTAAGTGTTTGGATATTTCTGAAATTGTACTACAAGGTTCCATATCACAAAGGGAAAGCTGGAATTGAGTTTGGGGGTAATTGCCCGAAACGTTTAGGAATTGGGGGCCAAAAAGGGGCCAAAAATAAGCATTTTTCTAGTTTCCAGACAATAACTTGTGTTCAAGTGTATGGATCTCTCTGAAATTGTACTGCAAGGTACCATACCACAAAGGGAAGGCTGGGATTGAGTTTGGGGGTGATGAATCATAAGGGGGTTCAAAAAATTTGGGGGGGGATTTTTTTTTTTTCTTTTTTTCCTTTTTTTTTTCTTTTAAAATTTTCCATTTTAAGTTGGTTATTTCTGATTAATATTTAAAAGCAAATAATAATGATATGGTAGGAGATACACACCAAACAGGATGTGTAAATTATTATCTAATAAGTATTGTGCAATAGCAAGAAATTTTCAATTGCACAGTATTGCACAATAGCAAGAAATCTTCAATTGCACAGTATTGCGCAATAGCAAGAAATCTTCAATTGCACAGTATTGCGCAATAGCAAGAAATATCCAATAGCACAATATTGCGCAATAGCAAGAAATTGTCAATTGTACAGTATTGCGCAATAGCAAGAAATATTCAATTGCACAGTATTGTGCAAAAGAAGATACTTCGTATAAATTGCTTATTTCTTGATCAATTTCAATGGGGTTTTATTCTTGAATTCTTGGGGTTCTTTAATATGCTGAATCTAACCGTGTATTAAGTTTTTGGATTTTGGGCCCCGTTTTTAAATTGGTCCACATTGAGGTCCAAAGGGTCCAAAATTTAACTTTGTTTGATTTCATCAAAAATTGAATTATTGGGGTTCTTTGATATGCTGAATCTAACCGTGTATTTAGATTCTTAATTTTTGGTTCCGTTTTCAAATTGGTCTACATTAAGGTCCAAAGGGTCCAAAATTAAACTTAGTTTGATTTTAACAAAAATTGAATTTTTAGGGTTCTTTGATATGCTGAATCTAAACATGTATTTAGATTTTTGATTATGGGCCCAGTTTTCAAGTTGGTCCAAATCTGGGTCCAAAATTAAACTTTGTTTCATTTCAACAAAAATTGAATTTATGGGGTTCTTTGATATGCTGAATCTAACCATGTATTTAGATTTTTGATTTTTGGGCCCCGTTATCAACTTTGTCCACATTGAGGTCAAAAGGGTCCAAAATTTAACTTTGTTTGATTTCATCAAAAATTGAATTATTGGGGTTCTTTGATATGCCGAATCTAACCGTGTATTTAGATTCTTAATTTTTGGTTCCGTTTTCAAATTGGTCTACATTAAGGTCCAAAGGGTCCAAAATTAAACTTAGTTTGATTTTAACAAAAATTGAATTTTTAGGGTTCTTTGATATGCTGAATCTAAACATGTATTTAGATTTTTGATTATGGGCCCAGTTTTCAAGTTGGTCCAAATCTGGGTCCAAAATTAAACTTTGTTTGATTTCATCAAAAATTGAATTCTTGGGGTTCTTTGATATGCTGAATCTAACCATGTATTTAGATTTTGGATATTGGACCATAATAGGTGAATGTCCAATTTAAAATTTTTAAGTTCTTAGACCACATTCATTCTGTGTCAGAAACCTATGCTGTGTCAAATATTTAATCACAATCCAAATTCAGAGCTGTATCAAGCTTGAATGTTGTGTCCATACTTGCCCCAACTGTTCAGGGTTCGACCTCTGCGGTCGTATCAAGCTGCGTCCTGCGGAGCATTTTATTTTAAAATGACATTTAGTTTGATAACGTATGAAGATTATGTGTACCAATTTTCATGAAAAAGTCAATAATGCAATTTTTTTAAATTTGATAAATATACAGCAAAAAATGACGTTTTTTTTTCTACATTCATGAGCATTTGATAAATACGAGTTATTTGTAAAAATAAAATGCACAAATTTATAGGACATTTATATAAAACAGAATTTTCAAATAATTTAACAAAAAACAGCTTGTGTTTATCTTTTAAAACAAAAAAGTTATGTATTTCTGTCAAAAGGAAAAATACGTCCACAAATCCGAATTTTTTGCAAATATCTGAAATTTCGACCTCAATTTGCTCAAAAAGTAGCACATGAAGGTATATTTTTTATTACATATTTGATTAAATCAGGTAAAAAATAGCCTATATGCAAATTTTCATCAAAATTTCATTATGGGATCAAAATTGTATCGTATGCCCTTAAATATGTTTGTGTTTTTAATTGCTGATAGTTTTTAAAATAATTTGCATAATAAGGAATTCTTAACTTTGATTGGTTACAACTACTTCTGATAGTGATTTTTGTGGACTGCTATTTTTTTTATTGTCTGTGTTCTTCAGACTACTTTTGAAATCAATAAAAAAAGACATCACAGCTTTGAACATTTGTTGAATAATGTTATACATACACAACATTATTTACAATTGACATTTGAAAAAAACTGATGATTCTAACCAATTATCGGTATAAGTGTTTAATATATTTTTTGTTGTATTCTTATATATATATATACTACTTTAACAAACTGTTTAAACCAGCTAACTTCCCGAAGTAATTTGAGTGTTCAAAAGTGAATTCATGAGATAAAATATTGTTTACAGAAGATACAGGCGAGTCGGTGAAACATCCACAAGGAGACTTTTCTTATCCATTTTCGGTTCAGCTTGGTACAGATATGCCTTGTTCTTATGAAGGAAAACGTGGCTATGTCAGATACTGTTGTGAAGCATTTATTACACGACCATGGAAGTTTAATGAAGGGTTCAGAGAACCATTCACTGTTATACGTCACCTAGACTGCAATGAATATGCTGATGCATTGGTAATATTTGTTTCTTCATTAAGATACAGTGTCTTGCTTGCTACAAATATAATGAGCTGTAAGACATTGGTATTGCGCTTTATGTGAAGAAATAATCATTTTTATAGTCTTCAATGACTAATAGATTCCCTGACAAGGTACATTTCAAAATAAGTACCAATGGCATACAATTCTGTCAACTCCTTTAATTTCTTTCATTTGTTAAGTCTCTGCAATTGGTTTACATAATGTTAAATGCACTGATTTTCAAGACCCTTCAGCATCAGCATTCAAAATGTGACAGGATTAGTATTAAATCGACGAGAGCTCACATTTTTAAACTCCATTGTATTGTTTGATATTTCGTAATATTTACTGAAATCACATAACATGTATAAATTAATCTTTCATTTATTTTGTTGATCAACAAAATTCAGTGCACACACAAATAAGTCGAAATTGACTGTATATGACCTACTTATTCATATTATTAGTTACAGCTGACCATGAAAACTATCATCAAACATAACTACTCCACTGATACAAAAATTTGATAAGAGCTAAGAAAACCAGTTAGTGCAAAGTTAAACATATTGAAAAATGCAACTGTAAAAAGTAGAAGAGATACCCAGGTGGAATCAATAATCATAGGTGTAAGAAAAAAAAGGACAACAGTAAGACACGATAGAAAAAGAACAAACAAATTATCTAAACGAAGATATGTTTCTACATTTGTACCTAGTACCTGATTGGAATTTGGAAACCAAAAAAATCTTTAGTGCAAAGCCAGTTGCTGCCAATCTTTGATATTAGACATTTGCATTGTTTGACATTACTTATCATACCTTTAGCCTTGAAGTATACAGTTTCATTATAAGGCATGTAATCATTTAAAGCATTGCATATTGTACAAATTAGAAATTTGACTTTTTTTACAGAATCCTATTGTGGATAGTATTGATCAGAAAGTTGAAGGATTATGTTGTTGCAAGTGTAGCGAGGAGGGATCTATGACGGTCAAGCTCCATATCAACAAAACAGCCTTTGTACCTGGGGAACCTTTGATTTATGAATTCTCTGTTGACAACAGGAGTGAAAATGTGATAAAAAAAATTGATTTTATATTACGTCAGGTAGAAATCCTAATAATTCAAAATAGTGCCATTTTAGAGTGGCTTTGATAACTAAATAATTGACACTTTACAACAAAAAACAAGAATAAGACCACCCATAGTGTTGACTTAAGTGAACTTGATTAAGGTACCTTGTTGGTTTTTTTTACCATATGTCTTCAAATGCAGGAGAAGTCAATATATCAAGAAACAACAGTTTACTCTCGTTGCTTGAACTCGGTTGACTTGAAATTTTGTATGAGTTGAAGTTTTCCCGTGGTCTCGAACTTTGTTCCATATAAATATATGTATTTCGACTCCTGATGAGTCGAAATTGGATAGGTTGAAATTTCATTTGACTCGAACCAAATTAACGGTCCCAAGATTAACAAAAGCATTCAAATTGAACCAAATTAAGGGTCCCAAGATTAACAAAAGCATTCAAATTGAACCAAACTAACGGTCCCAAGATTAACAAAAGCATTCAAATTGAACCAAATTAAGGGTCCCAAGATTAACAAAAGCATTCAAATAGAACCAAATTAAGGGTCCCAAGATTAACAAAAGTATTCAAATTGAACCAAATTAAGGGTCCCAAGATTTACAAAAGCATTCAAATTGAACCAAATTAAGGGTCCCAAGATTAACAAAAGCATTCAAATTGCATTATTTATCTTAAACTATTACACTGACCACTGTATTGATTTATGATATTCTTTTTCAACGAGTGTTTACCTAAGATTATCTTTGATAACCATGATAAATTATTAGTAAGATCGATTGGAAATTACTCTTTCGGCTAAAAACTACAGGAAAAAATTGTAACTGTACAAAGAAATAAATAAAAGACAAAAAATCATATAATTTTATTATAATAATTAAAGAACATAACATACAGATACCTCGATCTCAGACCAGAATATCGATCCCCTATCCATATTCATCAGGATTTATATTAGCCTAACCAAGCTAAGCAAGAGTTGTATCCCTTGGTCTTTCAAACTTCCTTTGTTTTGTATTCGTTTGAGTCGAACTATCTCGAAATATTTATCTGGTTTGAATGACTTCGAGATAGCGAGAGTCAGCTATATATATATAAAACTAATGAAGATTTCATATAAACTCAAGTGTTCATTGCCATACAATTTCAAGAATTTGAAATCATAGAAAATTTAAACAAACAGACAAAAAATGGTCATCATTATGACATTTTCAAGAAGGATTCAGATAGGGCAAAAAAAAAAATATTTGTGTTTCCTGTTTCATGCCCCAAAAATATAGGGTCAGTATTTCGGATTGTTTTTTTTTTTTAGATATATTTTTTCTTCAATCGATCTCATCATGAAGTTCTTGGAACTGTTGCTCAAATGTATTTGAGTGTGAAATTGTCATAAACTTTTGTATATCAGATTTATGGTTGCATTTTATAAACCGAACTGCGAGCACACTTTTTTTAGCCGGCCATTAATCTTTTATCATTCATGGTCACAAAAAAACTTACAAAATTGCAAATTAGAACCAGACGTTTTAGGGACATGCTAAAGGAAAAGCTTTTTTCTGATCACAGCGATTTTCCTTTAGCAGGGTATACTCAATAACAAAAATATAATAAAACATTTATTTATATTATAGACAGATCAATAACAAGATAATATTCTCTCTCTTTTTTTCTAGAATGCCACCTTTGCTGGATATTCCGACCGCATATTCTCATCTGGTAAACCTCACTTTCACACAAAGAAAGCCAGTTTTAAATTGTTTAATGAAAAAGTTGAAATACCAGTTAATCAATGTAAAACATTCAAAGGTGCTGCTACAATACCAGCTATTCCGCCAACTGGATTAAAAGGTTGTAATATCATTGAAATCGACTATAATGTGATTGTAAGTAATTTTTTTTAACTAGGCTTCTTATACTGTATAAATTCAGAAATTATTGCCAGGTTTTTATTAACGCGAATGATATAACTTGGGGAGTATTGCAATGATAAGAATTTGCATTCAGATATCTAATACAATTATCTGTATGCATATTTCGTAAAATCACAAAAAATTAATCTCGAACTTTGGTTGGTCATGTAAAAATTGCAATAATAAATGTGTGAAATAATTTCTGAATATACAGTAAACCATGTTATTGGTCTTTTTGGTAGCATTCTTTGGTAAAGTGTGGGAGGTCAAGTATTTGATCACACTGGTCAGATCAAACTAGAATTTGAAATAAGTGTTTGCTGCTTTCTGACTAAAACAACATTAAGTAAGAGCAAAGACTTGTCAGCTTAGATTTAAATAATGTGTATAGGTATATAGGATGACATGTCTTCTTGAAGAAGTCTTGTGAGCAAGTATGTTACAAATCTTGATTCATTCTGTACAAAGCAGGATATATTCAAATGTTCCATTAACATGTTATCTTCTGAGTATATATATATTGTTAAAATATACTTTGTCACTTTTTTGGTCTTTTGGAAAATGTTGTAGTTAAGATCCATTTATTACACCTTGTAATCCGTTTATTTGGCAATCGACAATGGCAGTCAGCAGGATTTAAGAACATTTGTTGTTCGACCTGTTAGTCAAATGCGTTTTGTTAAAATATACTTTTTGACTTTTTTGGTCTTTTGGAAAATGTTGTTTGTGCTGTATTTAGACCCCTCTAACAAGAAATTTGTTTTGCATGCACACGTATAAAAATTGCGGTTTTTATCCAACACAATCATAGGTTTGAACATTGTTTTCAATTTAGACTTGTTTATATATATATATATGTGTATAGAAATAGTATGCACTAGAGTTTAAGGGCTTATCATTTGAACAATTTATCAATATGTTTTTGATAAAATACTTTTTTAGCTGAAACATACTGTGAATGGATGTAATTTTTTATCTGTCGATACAGTGATGGTTCTTGGGTTCATTTAGTTGATATTTAATACTTTGCTCTTGTCAAAATGTAAAATAATTATATTTTATCATATGAAAATGTATTTTTTTAATTTTGTGGTTTTAATAAATGGGAACAAATGAGAATAGACAACTAATGAAAAGTGATACTTTTAGATGAATTGAATGAGAAAGCAACCCATCAACACACTCAAAAAATGCCAAAGACATCAAGAAGCATAATAGTAAAATTTCTTTAGATTTAATCGGTACAATTTTGAATTTAAAGAAATAGATGTATTTACACTTTTGGGTCTTTAGCTGAATTGTTTTCTAATGACACTACAAATAACAACAATGATCACTTCTTAATTATGACGTCAAATTTTATAAATTGTGATGCAAAATTTTGAGGGAACTTGTGTGATTTTAAGTAATGGTAGACAAATTTGCATACAATAGCTATATAGTTAATACATCTATTATGATTGTGGTAATTAATTTTGTGTTTTAACATATCATGGAATTCTTAAATTTTCAGGTAGCATTGACCCCTCTAAAAAAGGAATAATTGACAATATTAAAGTAATAATTTATCCTTGGATTCTTGTAGCTCTTTGTTGACAACAGTTTTACTCCGGTAAAGTTTAAAAAGGAAGTGTTTATAGGGACCATTCCAACAACTGGGGAGTATCAGACTCCAGCACCTTACACTACAGATGATAAAGCATTATCTTCTAACGATATTGGGTTGTCTCTTCAGCCATCTGCACCTCAGGGATGTAAGTATAAATTACTGTAAATTCAGAAATTATTGCCAGGTTTTTATTAATGCCAATAATCCTACTAGGTGAGTCTCACAATAATAAGAAGTTTCATTCTGAAATCTTATACATAAGCAGATTTACCTGAAAGGCTGAAATCGTCAAAAAAATAATGACACATTTTTGTTCATTGTTCCAATATCGCAATAATAAATGCACACAATAATTTTGGAATTTACAGTGACTGGTTTTCTACACATTGATGATGTGAAATATCATTTGCAAGCCACAATGTCAATGTTTTGGTGAGTGAGTGCAGAGAATGAGCCAAAAAATTCACATTATGTCAAAAGGCTATAAATCTTGTACGATATATATACACAGAAAATGCAAAAATCTGTTATCGTGCCATTTCTGCACTCTCCCCCCTCACTTATACAGTTTAAAGCTCGTAGAAAGTGTGCTTGATATCTTGAGTCTCCTCAGACATTGTGACGTCAATGATAACTGCTCCATAGACATTGTGAAGTTAGTTCTACTAGCATCTCTAAGATGTGATATGAGAATTACGGAGGGACTGAGCAGGGTGATATAGGCAAAGGGAAGGACGATAAGTACTGGTACAAGCTTAGTATAATTTGAAAGTTAGTTTTGATCTCATTCATATGGTCTCATAAGAGTATAACAAACAAATTAAGAAAATTAACCAACAGTTGTATACAGCTGCCATATTGTCAGTTTGGTGTTAATTAGATATAAGCTTATACATGGTAGACTCTTTGTTTATTTTGATGTAGACTTTGAGATTGATTATATAGGTAAACTACTGTAAGATGACGTGTCACATGATATTGTGACTGACATATGATCTAAAGCTATCAATGTGATAATTGTTATTCTTATTCTCTTCATACAGCGGTATCTGACCCAAATTTGACTTGGAGACATGTGTTAAAATTTATCAAAACAATTCTAATCCTTTTTTTTTGCCGCTGTAATGCTGTTTCGTTTAAGTGGTGCAATTATATTGTTTCATGGACTTGAAAAGGAGGACATCTGTTTTTAGTCATCTGAGTGCAACTTTTTCATTGTTTGTATTTCAGTGCCGCCATCCTATGCGGAATGTGTTTTTGGGAAGGTTGATCTAAAAGAAGATGATGACAAACACACAACATCGTACACTAACTGGGCCCCTGCTTATACGTACTATGATTGGAGCAAGACAACAAATTATGGAGGCTTGACACCATCAACAGTCACTCCAGCTGCAGATTCATACAACAACATTTAATCTTGAGTATGGTTGGACAATGAACAAGTTGATATATGTGCTAAAGTATATATTTTATATCAATAATAAACAGATAACTGTTTCCTTTAGTTGACAAACTGAAATTTCCTCAGGTATAAAATAATTATTGAAGCATTATTTGCATGTGATTGAATTTAAGAATTTCATTTGTCAACAGGACAGAAACATAACAGTTTGTATATGGATAATTCTTTATCTGCATTGCAAGGGCTGAATAAAAAGTGAGCAATATGTTGGCTTTGTTTTAATCTTTAAATTTAGATTTTTCTAAATATTCTATCTACAGAATTTGTTTCAAAAAGTTTTCTTATTGCTATAACATATATATTTAAATTATTTGAAAATATGGGGATCACTGTCTAAATTGTAGAAATTTTAGTAATGTATGGAAAACTTGTTTATTCTATATATCAAATGATGTTTTTAGATGACAAAAAAGTCTGAGAGCATTTTACAACAAACAAGGGCATTCAGTGATCATTATATATGTTCATATGTTTGTTTGTCTTTTCATTGATTGTTTGTACATCCATTTGTAAACCCATTTCAACTTGTATCTACCAGTCCTTCTAATTCAATGACTTGAAACAGTATGAGTATTCCTTTTCTTTGCAAATCAAGGAACTCAGATTTTAATTTTTTAGCTCTGTTTAAAGTTTTTCTATTTAATTTTAGTTCTTTATTGAGAACATTTTATCACTTGCCTATTGACCCTTAGGTTGTGAGTTCGAACCCTGCTCCTTTCTTAATCTTAATTGACTAGGATTGTTAGTTTTCCTACCGTAGGTCAGTGGTTCTTTCAGGTTTTAATTTGTTATCTCTGCTTAGAGTATTTCTATTTAATTTTTGTTTTGTATTGAGAAAATGTCATCACTTTCGGGCCAATACTCAGGTTGTGAGTTTGAACCTCTCATGTGGCAGGTTCATTTGGATCCAATCTTAATTAACTAGCTAGTATTTTTAGTTTTCCTACCCTAGGTCAATGGTTCTTTCAGGTTTTCATTTGTTATCTCTGCTAAGAGTTTTTGAAAAAATATCCTAAATATATATATGCTTTTGACCATTGGGAAGTCCTAAAAAGGTTGTCAGACGTCAGAGCGATCTCTGACCAATAATAAACAAGCAGTTTTGCCAGAAAGCATATACTTGATAATGATGAATTTGCATGCTATGTAAGAATTATACAGATTTTTCTTGTTATAGTTATGTTGATACTTATTTTAATTTGTACATATGTGTGATTGTTGATATTCTTTATTGTTATTTAATATATATACACAACTAAGTGCTTTTAATGATGTTTACAACTTTTATATTATTGTTTTTTTCTAAGGTGCTATATAGATGACACTTCTTTACAGAAGTTACTCGAAATGGTATTATATTTCTTTTTAAATATTTGTTAACATTTTAAATTGGATGCAGATAAGAAAAAATTGCAAGGCAACAACATATGTTTTTTTATCTTATTTTTGAAAATATGTATTAGTGCAGCATTGTGTAGGTCATATGTAGATATTAGGAGGAATACACTGATATTTAGAATAATTATTCAAGGTGGGAAGGTGAACAACATCTGGAACAAACAAAATAAAAAATATTCATGAAGGAGTTAAATTCAAAACTTTTTCTTCAATTCATCTTGAATTTTTATACGCCCGTTTATGGGACGTATTATGGTATACCGTTGTCTGTCCGTCCGTCGTCAACATGTTGGACAATAACTCAAAAGCACTTTAACCAATTTTCATGAAACTTTGGTGAATTGCTTATATCTATTGACGTAAGTGCCCTTTCGATTTTTATACATTTTAGATTTTACGTTTCCAAGTTAATGGATGTTATTCATAAAAAAGGGGTAATTTTTCAGTTTTCGGACAACAACTCAAAAACACTTTGAGCATTTTTCATGAAACTTTTATGACATATTAAAATTAGCTGCCTTGACTTTTTTTTTTATAAATTTCTGATATGACATTGAGAGTTATGGAACTTTATTCTCATGGCGCAGCTCTTTATTAAATGATGATATACTTCATAACAACATGTACCATTAATTGCTTACTAAGATGACACTAAAGAAACTGATGTTATATATAGACCATTGAATCTTGAGTTGTTTTTATACGACTGCAAATTTTTGCGGTCGTATATTGGTATGACGTTGGTGTCGTCGTCGACGTCCGAAGACACATTGGTTTTCGCACAATAACTTTAGTTTAAGTGAATGGATCTCTATGAAATTTTACCATAAGGTTCAATACCACAAAAGGAAAGGTGGGATTGATTTTGGGGGTTATGGTACCAACAGTTAAGGAATTAGAGGCCAAAAAGGGGCCAAAAATAAGCATTTTTGTAACTTCCAGACAATAACTTGTGTGTTAGGGGACGACCATTTGATATTCTGGGGGGGGCCAGGAGGATTTGTTTTGGATCGGTTATTTATTTTTGTAAACTAAGAGGACAGATTATCTATTTTCTGCACTATTGAAGCAAGATTTTTCATTTTCATCAAAGCAAGGGACTGATTATTTATTTTCACAACTATATTTATATTATTCGAAAACATACAATTTTTAAATTATTTGTTTATTATAAATAATTCATGTATAGTCAAGTCATTATGTACCATTTAATCAGAATTAATTTTTAACCTCTGCAGAAATGAATCTTCTATAATCCCCAATGCATATACATGTATTGCATACATACACAGTATTAAAGTTTGGTTGTAACTAAGGCTCTTTTAAAAGTATTGGCAAACATGTTTCGCCGAGCGGAGCGAGGGAAAATTTTTTTGAAGGGTTTTTGAACCGCTGAAGGCCCAAGAAGCTATAGAACAAATGATGCAAAATCATGCCTTCTGGGTGTTCCCCAGACCCTTTCTTAAACTGAAAATGCAAGTTCTGTTTTAATAATTTTATGACAATATTTTGGTCTCAAAGCAAAATCACGTTATAGATTCAGTGTAAGACTTAAGTTTCTAGGGACAACATCAAAAGACAAATATGCATGATAAAGCAAAAATGTAATTCACATAGTTAAGTCTGTGGCTGATGTGTTTTTTTAAACTCATGATCAAGTTAATAATAAAATTTCTAAATTACAAAATGAATGCAACACTAACAGAATACAGAACATGCAGAAGGGCAATCAATGGACAAAACACAAATATATAAGAAACATTGATCCCGAAAAATCAGGGGCTACGTCTGAGGGAGAACAGAACTTGCTTCTTGCAAGGCACTCACGGTGAACACAATTTGATATGGAGACAAGCGTTTGGTTTTGAAATTTCCTACATGAGGCATTTGTCTCAATGTAGTTACGGCCCTGATTTAATAAAAGTGAGGTAAGTGTTCCTGAGACAATTAACCTCAAGTTAAATGAAACCAATTTTCTGACATTTCAAGTATATTTAAATAATATTTATACTTTTATTATTTAAAGATATGGGAAGTGTTTCCCGATTTTTTTTTATGGAAAAAAGATGAATTTATGAAGAATCTGGTGCCATCTCATACTTTCGATTAGACCTGCTGAGTTATTTATTTTCAATACATTGCAAGTCAGGTAATTTATTTTCAAACTACCACAGAACAAACCATTTATTTTTGTGATTATCAAGGCTGAGTTATTTATTTTCAAAATCCTCCTGGCCCCCCCCAGAATATCAAATGGTCATCCCCTTAGTGTATTGATCTCTCTGACATTGTACCACAAGGTTCCATATCACAAAGGGAATGCTGGGATTGATTGTGGGGGTAATTGCCTCAAAATTGTAGGAATTAGGGGCCAAAAACAAGCATTTTTCTAGTTTCATGACAATAACTTGTGTGTAAGTGTATGGATCTTTCTGAAATTGTACTACAAGGTTCCATATCACAAAGGGAAAGCTGGAATTGAGTTTGGGGGTAATTGCCTAAAATGTTTAGGAATAAGAGGCCAAAAAGGGGCCAAAAATAAGCATTTTTCTAGTTTCCAGACAATAACTTGTGTTCAAGTGTATGGATCTGTCTGAAATTGTACTGCAAGGTACTATACCACAAAGGGAAGGCTGGAATTGATTTTTGGGTAATTTCCTCAAAATTTTAGGAATTGGGGGCCAAAAAGGGGCAAAAAACAAGCATTTTTCTAGTTTCAGGACAATTACTTGTGTGTAAGTGTATGGATCTTTATGAAATTGTACTACAAGGTTCCATATCACAAAGGGAAAGCTGGGTTTGAGTTTGGGGGTAATTACCCTAAAAGTTTAGGAATTTGGGGCCAAAAAACAAGCATTATTACAGTTTCCAGACAATAACTTGTGTTCAAGTGTATGGATCTCTCTGAAATTGTACTGCAAGGTACCATACCACAAAGGGAAGACATTATTAACTATAAATTTGACCTGGTTCATACTTCAGAGTAATCCATGCACACTTTCGTGAGATTAATAAACAAACACATATAAAATGAAACCCTTGTCAATACATTTTATCAGACAATATTTAAGTGATACATGTAGTTTCATTTTGGATAAATAACACTGAAATGAGAGATGTGCATGTACAGTCAAGTTGGGCTCAGCAATATTGATTCATTTGTATATATAGATGATTGATCTTGTATCAGGATGTAGGGGTGCATGTGTATGTGTATATTTGTATTTGTTTTGTTTACAATTGTATGAATACATGCATGTGTGTTGGTAAATATGCGGTGTTGTTGATCTTATGTGTTTTGTTTTATTTGTTCGTTACTTTATTTTCTATTATTTAGCATGTTGATTATTATTATTATATACTATTTTTTGGTATGTCTTCTCTTTAAAAACAAACAATACACAAAGTTAAAAATCGAAGTACAAAATGAAGTTTTCACAGAACTTTTTTGATATATCTTTTAGTTTTACTTTAGCACAAAAATTATTTGCTCATTTTATTTATACTATGATGCTCTCGACAAAAGTTTTTTGGGGGTTGGGGGTAACTCTAAGTAAAAAATTGAAACATTGTGAAAACACTTTTAACTATAGACATGATAGATGCACATGTGTATGTTTTGTTAATACTGCTTGGATATATTGGGCTTATAGATATTTATATTTATTATTATTTAAGCTATTCTTGTTTAACCACTTGATATATTATGTCGACTATAACTATTGGTAGTGTAAACTGCAGGGGTTTATCAGAAACAGTTAAAAGAATTGATATATTTACAAAATATAAGGACTCGTATGATATAATTATATTAGTAGACACCCATAGCACATCTGAAAAAGAAAAACAATGGCTGCATGAATGGGGATATGTGGGGAAATTTAGTTCTTATTCTAGTGAAAGTAGAGGTAGCTATTCTTTTCAAAAATACTTTTGAATTTAAAATCCATGGGGAAACTATAGATCTGTCTGGTAATTTTATTATATTATATATCACCATTCAGGACTACCGTATAACTTTGGCAGCAATGTATGGACCGAATAATGATGAACCAGTCTTTTTTGAGAACATAAAAAACAAAATATCCCACTATGGCAATTCGTCAATTATAGTGGTGGGAGATTGGAATGTTGTTCAAGATTATGAGATGGACACATTATATTATAGAAATGAAAATAACCCCCAGTCAAAAGCCAAGATACATGAGGTAATGCATGACCTTGATTTATTAGATATATGGCGCCTGCAACACCCTTTTGAAAAGAGGTACTCATGGCGGGGTCCAAATCACAAACTAAGTCGTTTGGACTACTTCATGATTACCTCTGATATAGAAGCATTTGTAATTTCATCAGATATAGGGATTAGTTATAGATCGGATCATTCTCTGGTACTTATTAATTTAAAATTTTCAAGCCAGATTAGAGGGAGGGGTACATGGAAATTTAATAACAGTCTTTTGAGGGAAACTGAATTTATTGAAAAAGTTAAAGGGGACATCAAAACTGTCATCAAGGAATATGAGTCTGATCCATCTATGGATATTGAGACAGAGGATAAACAGTTTAATATAAGCTATCAGCTTTTATGGGATATGATTAAGATGAAAGTTCGCGGATCTGCAATCTCTTTTTCGTCATTTCAGAAGAAGGAACAAAATAAAAAAGAAAAAGAATTATTATATAAGATATTATTATTATTAGATAAAAAACTCATAGAGAATAACTTGCCATCGGTACACCAAGAAAGGGAAGGGTTGGAACTAGAATTAAAAATAATAAGGGAAAAAAATGTCAAAGGAATAATTACAAGAGCAAAAGCAAGATGGCAAGTAGAGGGGGAAAAGGGAAGTAACTATTTTTGTAATTTGGAAAAAAAACATTACACAGAAAAAATTATTCCCAAACTTATTCTGGAGGACGAATCTGAGATAACAGATCCATGTATTATTAGAAATGAACAAAAACAATTTTATAAAAAATTGTATACTAGTTCTAACCCATTGTTACTTGAAACTCACAGGAACACATTTCTTCAGCATGACAATCCTTTTATTACAAAACCTAATGAGGAAGAGGTGGGTTCCTGTGAGGGACCTTTATCAGTGCAGGAATGTCTGTCTTCTCTTAAACTTATGAAGAACTCTAAATCACCTGGTATAGATGGATTCACTGTTGAGTTTTATAAATTCTTTTGGAATGATATTAAAATACCA